CTTTTTTTTTTTTTTTTTTTTTTTTTTTTTTGTATTGATGAAAGAAAATGCTTAGCTGCAGCACATCTAGCTAAACACAGTGACAGCCACGATAGACTTGAACATGTACAGCATAAATTGCTTTAGAAATAACATTACCAAGGAGGAGCGTGTAAGGAAGGAAGAAGTCTTTAGAAGGCCTCTATCCAAATATTTTCTTTCTTCTAAGTGTTGAAAAAGCACGCTATAACCATTTCTTCTTCCAAATGATCTCATAGTTATTTATTGAGGAGAAATACCAAATGCTTACTATTATTTGATAGACACTTCTTCTGACTTGATATGTGTCTGAATCAGTCTCCTCGGGACTAAGGGACACTGAGACAAAGCCACATCCTAAGTGTTGTGCTGGTGTCACAGCAATTCCTGTGCAGAAGGGGCTATGCAACCTTTTTTATTCCCCCTTCACAGACGTCCTTGAGTCCTTGAGACGGATGTGAATGGAGTTTTTCAGCCCTCGTGCAAAACAACCAACTAAACATAACAGATGACATCAGCTTGGGCTTTTCAATTCCTGGATGGCAGCGGCGTGTTAATCCAGCCTTCATCCTGGATTTCATAAACTAAAACAAGAGAGGCTGGCAGGAGCTCAGCGCTGCCGCTGGGTTGAGGAAATTGATGACGGGGAAGCATGCGGGCAACACAGTGTATAAAACTCATAAACGTGTAGGCAGAAGCTCAGCTACTACTTTGGACGGCTGCTTCCCGCCAGCAAAGACCACGACGGCAGGGAGTTGAGCCGGAGCCAGCTGGGAGACATGAAGAGCCTCTTGCTGCTGACCACACTCCTGGTACCTGTGCACCTGGCTATGGCCTGGAGCGCCAAGTATGCGGTGGATTGCCCAGAACAGTGTGACAACAGTGAGTGCAGAAGCAGCCTGCGTTGCAAGAGAACAGTGCTGGATGACTGTGGCTGCTGTCAGGTGTGTGCTGCGGGACCCGGAGAAACCTGCTACCGTACAGTCTCAGGCATGGATGGCGTCAAGTGTGGCCCGGGGCTGAAGTGTCACTTTTACAGTGAAGAGGATGATTTTGGTGATGAGTTTGGTATCTGCAAAGGTAAAGAACATGTCCTTGCTTCCCACTGTGCAGGGCTCCCTGAGGGCATTTAGTCAGCTTCGGGGTACGGTCCTCCTCTTTCCTCCTCTGAACTACCAGGGAGGATGCACAGATGCCAGAGGTGTGTTTGGTAGACAGAGAAGAATAGCTGCAGAAAGGTTTGGGATGCAGTGTGCAGGAATCACAGCAAAGGCTGCAACATTCCACTCTGCATTTAGATCCGAGAAAGTTGCAGTGGTAGCTTGTGCGGTTTCCTTTTCTGGAAGCCGTTAAAAACTTGACAGGTAGTCTGTTACAGATGCTTTAGGTGTCCTTTCTTCCCAAGCGGATGATTACAGAGGTCCTCCTGAGATAACCTCTTAGAGTGGTTTCCAGCCCCAGATTTCACCAGCCTTTGATCTTGAAAGAGTTCCCAGGGAGGAGTGCCTCTCTCAAGCTCAAATATTTCTTTCTGTTGAACACTAACGTGGGCTTAAATCAGCCAACGAAATAACTCAGGTTCTTGCAAAAGGGTCCCCTGAAATATAAAATAAACCTAGTTTTACTTGAAAAAAAAACTTCAGTTAGCCAGAAAATAGCAGATGTTGTAAGACAAGCAGAAATAATAGAAGTCTAGAAGTCTGTTAAAAAGGGGGCTGCTTTGTAAATTAAAAAAATAAAATAATAATCAAGACAGAAACCATAGCTAAATGATTTGTTGATGTATCTGTGGAATTTATTTTCAAACTTAGTGACTAAATTAATATTTGTGAATTTATAAAAATAAAAGAAGTGGCTATTGATAAGTCTCCCATACATAGATGCCATATAATCTCATCATTACATGCTATTGTGATTAAAAGGCAATGCATTCTAGAACTTCATCCAGTTTGTATAATACAAAGAAGCTGCCAGAATAAGAAAAAGAAGTTCTGAGAATTTTCTAAATAACTCCTATCTATGTGCTCAATACAATTCCATCCTTCCCTGAATGGCCATCATCCAGAGTTGAGACAAACTCATTAGTCCTCAGTTTAGAAAATAGTTTATAAATTAACCATCTTTTCTTCTGCAAAACCAATGGAAGCCTTAGAAAGAAATTCTAGAATAACGTGGAAATTTTTATTCTTTGATTATATTATTCTTGATTAAGACTGACAAGAGGTGGGCTGCTAAGGAAGTATTTTGTTTTGGTGAGCATACATATACACATTTCTTTCAAGTGAATAGGCTCTGTATTTGTGGAAATTAGAGGGCTTATGCTAAGAAAACAGCACCTCACATAAGGAAATTAGGAAGGAGGTGCTTAACCCAGTCCTGTCTATGATATAGCGAGCATATGTGGGGGAACTGCCTTTCCTTCGGCATAAAAACACCTTTGTAAATGTGATTATGAATGGACAGTGACATGGGGTCAAGAATCCAGCTGTGGGGCAAAGGTTAGTGAACTATGCCTGCCATTGACAAACTATTTTGAATTGCTCTTTCTGGCATCCTCTGAGTTGCTGGTGAGTTTAGTTTCCAACTGTTTTTTGTTTGTTTGCTTGGTTTTTTTGTTTGTATGGTTTTTGGTTTTTGTTTGTTTGTTTGGTGCTGGGAATAACAGTATAGGTTGTTCTCCATTTCGGCAGGTGAATTCCAGATATTTTGTTTGTTTGTTTGTTTGTTTAACATTTAGAAGTTTGACCCCATGTCGCTGGCTATCTTTTGGGAAGTCAACATTTATTTATAGAATGTTTACTATCTGAACAGCACACAGCACATTGGGGGCCACCTGGAACTGGGTAGTGGGTTAAGGTTTTCATTTTCAGCATTGCTGAAGACAGTCACAGTCTCATCCTGTGCTTTTCTGTCAGGGGTTTTCCAGATCTTTCTTAGGGGCTTTTCTTCCCAGGGTAAGGAGGGTGTGTAGCGGCAGAATCCTCTAATCTCTGAGTGACAGGGAAAGAGCAGTGCTTCCTGCTTAAAGACCTGCTTGATGCACATCCATCTTGATCATCCAAGGCACTGCTGGGTGGCTAAACACTCCAGTGCCTCACAACTGTCTTTATGCTTGTGCGATTGTACATTAGCAAAGACATCTCCATGCTGGAAGAATACATTTCTACCAGTGGTTCCCAACCTTCCTAATGCTTGGATGCTTTACTGCTGTTCCTCATGTTATGGTGACTCCCAACTGTAAAAGCATTTTCATTGCTACTTCATAACTGTAGTTTTGCTACTGTTATGAATTGTAAATATTTTTGGAAATAGAGGTTTGCCAAAGGGGTCATGACCCACAGGTTGAGAACCAGTGTTGTTGCTGGATGTTGCTGAGTTAACCTCTTGAGATACTGTTAAACTACAAGCGCTGCTCTTTTAATGTGACAGACATCTTTATTTTGTTGAAGCATTTCTTAGTCTAAGTATTAAACACTGAAGCTCCGAAAGCTTCCCGTTCTTGGTAGGTGTGCAAGCCCTCAGGCATGTAAACCTGAGCTTTCTTGCTCACTTAGCATCTTATCTTTTCAGGGAGCTTGATTAGTGAATCCTCTTAACAGGTAGGGGAGTGGGTGAAGGCCTAGTGCTGTCCAGAGAGAAGAGGGGTTTTTGTAAGTGTGAGAGCAGGCTGGGAACTGTTATTTCACAGTCAGGCCGCCTCTTAGGCCTGTAAAACAGTAAACTGTCAACTACTGTAGATTAAAGACACACTCACACCTATCAAGCTATTTGAGCAGGTAATGCTTATGTCTCTATTCTTAGTCTTCACTGAGCTGTGACCAAGATAACCTGTGAGAATCTGTGTTATCTACCCAGAAAAAAAAATAGAATTAAGGATGTGGTTGGCAAGAAGCCTGAGTGGGTAAAGGCACCTGTTGTTAATCGTGAAAACCCAAGTATGAGCCTCATGGCCCACAGTGGAAGGAGAGAACCAACTCAACAAGTTATGCTCTGACTTTCACACATGTGCTACACACACACACACACACACACACACACATACACACACGAATACATATGAACATACATGTACACACAGAGACATGCATATGCACACTCACACACAAACACATGAACACAAGAGCACACATACACACATGCATTTACACATGCCTGCACACACTCTAAATAAATAAATAAGTAAAGAAAGAAAGAGGGGAGGTATTTTAAAAGTCTAGCATAAAGAGGTTGGTTATGTGTAGCTAATTTAGGCTTCTCATCAGGAGCTTAAGCCTGAGGTAGGTGTTATCTGGCCTTACTGTATGGTTTCACACTTATGACCTCAACTTTCAAACCTTGGAACTTTTGAGAAGTGATTTTTCATTTATCAAAGTCCAGGAGATTGAATCAAATCCTACAGCTATCACCCAGGGCTGGGAGTAGGGAACCCTATGTTTAACAAGCAGTGTCCTCTCTAAACCCTCACTCTGCCCTTAGACTGTCCCTATGGCACTTTCGGGATGGAATGCAAAGAGACTTGCAACTGCCAGTCAGGCATATGTGACAGGGTGACCGGAAGATGTCTGGAATTTCCCTTCTTCCAGTATGCAGCAGCCAAGTCGCCCAGCAGGACCGCTGCCTCTCACACAGGTATGTATGTGGTGACCTTGGTCTGTTCAAATCGATGTAAAAACCAGTAGAAGATGGTGTCTATCTGAATGAACTTCTTTCTTTGTTTTCCTCAGGGGGTAAGTTGGGCGGGTGTTGAGTTTGGTGGGCCGCTGAGTTTGGTGGCTGTTGCTATTTTCAAGACAAATCTCATTGATAATTCTGAGGTTTCTCATAAGGCTTACTACATTTTAATGAATTAATGAAGACAAATCTGCCATAAAAAGCAACCAACCAAGATGTGCAAAGTTTACTTTAAAGAACTCTTTAGTGATGTTTTTATACACTTGCTAGACAAAACGATTTCTCTCCCAACTCCACATAGAGAGCAATGAGGTAGTTGTTGGATCAGCTTTAAGAGCTACAAGAAAAAATATAGAACATTTCTCCTCCTCACCCTCCTCTTCCTACCCCCCTCTTCCTTCATCAAATGGAAGCAATAAAATGGAATAATTGTGTTTTCATGGGTTTTGGAGCTGGTAAGAATTAATCCCTGTGGTGAGATCCAGGGACTAATAGAACTGGAGCAAAGCTTACACGGCTGCTGACAGATCCGGGCTGTGCGGCTGTGAGCTGTGCACAGCTGTAAGGTGGTTCTATGCATTGGCTTCTCCTCTTGATAGATGGCCAAGCACATAGAACTCTAATAAGGTAAAAGTAGCTCATTTAACATGGCTGTACCAAATGAAATCGACATTTAAAATAGCATCTGTCATTAGAGCTTATTCTTTGAATAGAATGGTAATGATAATGTGTTGTATGTTTCAAAATTGTTGAAAGATTAGATATAAAATATGAAAAATTGTATGTGAGGTGATGGATATGTTAATTGATTAATTTAATCACTTTACAATCAAATTATATCCATGCTTAAAATGTTAATTAAAACCCCCACACTCTTGGGGTTAGAGAGATGGCTCAGTGGTTAACAGACTGCATTGCTCTTCCAGAAGTCCTAAGTTCGATCCCCAGCATCCACATCAGGCAGCTCATAACCACCTGTATCTTCAGCTCCAGAGCAATCTCTTGCTTCTTCAGGCAAAATACTGACACAACCTTCCACCCGTAGCTAAATAAAATGAAAAATCAAGGTTCATGACTGTACAGAGTTATAAGAGGTCATTTGGAGAAAAAGAAAAGACTTTGTTCTTAAACCCTCAAGATTTAGCCACAACAGCTGCTCATTAATATCAATAAACTATACCTCCTCCAGATAGAAAATAGTCACTCAAATCAATTTTATTTAGGTTGTGTTTCTGGCCCTTTGCCCTTGAAATTAACTAAAGTGTGAAATTCAGCAAATGTGCTTATTTCTTCTGTTACCATCTTCAGATATTGTGCTTTTAAGTCAATTGGTAGTTTTAAGTATGACTCTGGCCTTATGTGTTAAATCTTAACTTATTAGATGAATATCTTTGTGGACAATTAATCTGGAGGCTGATACAATAGATTAAGTCATGTAATTTAATTTTGTAGTCTTTGACAATGCAAAAAGTTGGGGTTTAAGACTTGAATATTTGTTTTATGTGATTTTCATATAACACTTGGAGACAAACCCATTAGGATCATGAGCATATCTACTATTTCGTAACCATGGCCTCCATCTAGTTCCAGAACCTTTGATTAGCTCAGTACTCATTGGTTTCCCTCTTCCTCATTCTCCCTGTACCTGGAAACTGTCAATGGAGAGCACCAAGCCATCTCTCAGATCTGAAAATTCTTCAAAGGAGCTGCTTACAGAACAGATCTGAGATTTATTATCTCAGTTTACCTAGCCACCTCAAACATTTTTAGCTTTTTTTATCTTTATTTTTCATTTTAAAAACTAAGTCAGATACTGACTTCTTGGCTACTATGTAAAAGTCTTATAAAGGTCCTCTGTTACTGGATGGTAATTATATATTAAGTTACACACACAAAAAAAAACTATTTCTAATCAAAACTAGGTATGGAGATTCCAACTAGAAATCTAAAAGAAAATCAGTTGGTTTTCTTTCTTTTTGTATTGGTGATATTTTAAAAATTTTACTTGTGTAATCTTTGTCAACCTCAGGTTCAAGAGAGGATGAAGAATGTCTGAAAAGTATAGACAGGCTGCCCTGTTTACCTGTGCCTTGTCTACATGGGATTTGCCTGTCTGTGTGCTAGAATCCACAGGGGGAAACATGGCTACTCAGTTCAGCCATAGGCTTCACATCAACACTGCACAAACCCATCTGAGCCCATCGTTTGAGAACAGGCAAATTGTCTCAGGTCCACCATAGGTTTTCCAATTACATGGGGTCTTCTTCAACTTGCTACCTGCTGATGGCAGGTGGGCTTCCTGATCCTACCTGCCTCAGTGTCCGAGAATAGAAATTAATGAGTCCCAATTTTTAATGAGCTGGGTGAGGCATAAGAATGCTCTATACCCATCTGTCCGCAAAGCCACACTAATCTTTCTATTCCAGGATACACACTGTGGACACAATTATGTCCCATTCCTCTTAGAAGCAAAATATTTCCCTTTAGAAAATTCTAAATGATATAAACCTTTCTTGTATGAAGAGCAGGAAGGATAACTGCCTTCTGGAGTTACACCAAAAAGTGAGTTCATTTTTATGCCAGTGAATATAAAAATCTTTTTTTCTTATACATTATTTTTTAATTTATTTTTTACATTCCAATTCCAGTTCCCCCTCCCTCCTCTCCTCTGACTCCCCCCACTCCCCACCTCCCATCTGCTCCTCGGAGAGGGTAAGGCCTCCCCTAGGAAGTCTACTAAGTCTGTCCCATCATCTCGTTGAGGTAGGACCAAGGTACCTCTTCCCCCCAAACCCCTGTGCCTAAGCTGGGCATGGTATCTCTCCATATAGAATGTACTCCACTAAGTCAATTTGTTCATTAGACTTAGATCTTGGAGCCACTGCTAGTGACCTCATATACTGTCCCAGTCACATAAAAATCTTTTTAAGAGACCAATTTGTGCAGCATTTAGTCATTCACTAGATAAGCATTGCCATCCATGCTGGTAATATAAGCAAGCAAGTGGAAGAAACAGCAAATGAAAGAAAGTCCTGCTTTTATAATTCTAGGAATAGAGTGACATAATGCCAGGGAGAGGAAAGCTGCATGTATACCATAGGGTATATAGAGAGAAATGTTGCAAAGGGTGTTGTCTTCACTGAAAGAGCAGTTCAGGGCTGCTTAGTAGAGTTAGCAGAGAATTTTGAATCAAATACTTATTTTAAATTCCATTAAAAGACAAAACCAAACCAAAACAAACCCATGCTTGGTCTTTGACTTACGGATGTGTGGACATGATTTATGTGTCTTCTACTTTCAGAGCGAGACGTGGCATCTGGAGATGGCAATGCTGTGAGAGAAGAGATTGCTGAAGGGAATGTGGCTCGGCCCTCTGTAATGAAATGGTTAAATCCACGCTGATCCTGGCAGAGCCAAGAGAAGGCTCCACTTTAGTGACAGACACTCAACCAACATTTTAAGAGCTGTCTAGAGCAGAGACTATGGACATGTACTTTATGGAGATCAAGTGTGATTCAGAGAGGATCCAGAAAAAAAAATGTAGGCGATATACAACCCATAAAACAATATGACTGAACACTTTTAGATATATGTTAAATATTTAAATGCATATAGATCTGTTAAATATGTGTGTGAGTGTGTGGGAGACATCACCAAGGAGCTAAACATGCAGCTGAGATGGTCTTATGGTTAATGAATAATCTCATCAAAGCTGGAGAAACTACAGGTCCGTCCTTTGACTTGGGTGTACATTCTTGTTGAGATACAGGTTGAAGAAAGAGGAGTAAGAGAGGATGGGGTGGTAGTGAAAGTAGGGAGTTATACCATTTGGCTCTTCCTTGTGGTAGCTTCAAATTTATTATTGTGTTTTAATTTGGGGAAACAAGACCAGAGAAGACTTGAAGGAAGCTGGTGGGAGTATGAGCAGCTTCCATGAATGAAAATGCTATTATTACAGCTACCTGCGCCTGATGGGGGTGGGCGGTGAGGGAGGGGGGATTGGATAGAGGATGAATATACACTTCCACTACTGGTTTAAGCACTGTGGGCCTTGAGAGATCTAGGTGGCAGTTTGCCTCCTGGGGAATAGAACAAGGTGAAGGTGAATATTTATGTATTTTTGTAAACAAATCTGTTAGTTTAAATATTTCTTCAACACCCATATTTCTCCTGTACATTATAGAAATTACCTTAATGCTGTTTGTTTAAAATGATTAGGGGGAAAAGCGTATAACATATATGGTTCTCAAACACCCATATATGGAAAACTTGTTACTAATCATTTAATTAATATTAATAAACATGTAGTTAATATAGGCTTATAAAATGTTAAAAAATGAAAAACTAATGCTACGTCTTGGGAGAAACTTAAATTTAAATCAGAAAATAACTTTTTAAGACAGTTTTGGAAAGGAGAGTTAGTTTTCATTAGGAAACGTGATGACTTTAAGATATTATTTTCATTTTTTTATTCCTTCAAACTTGGTAGATGAATAGGCTACACACGGGAGGGCCTTAGCACAAAAAGGACTGTTGTACTAGGCGATGCTGGGAAATATTTACAAAAGTATTTTATTTGCAGTGAAGATCTTATTTAAGAATTATTTCATTATTTACTTATATTTTATTCTTGAGGTTTGCCAACAGAGTTGTGAATGTATTGAAGATCCTTGAATGTAAGCAGAATCAGCTGTTAAGATTTTTTTGTTTGTTGAAGAACAACTTGTTATTGTTCAATAAAAATGGCACAGCTGTTCCATGTCAACTGGTTTCCTTTTAAATTGTACTCAACCAATACGAGAGTTAATTCACATTAGAGGACAAGCCCTTCAGTTGAATTTTATGCTACAGGTTCCTTTCTCCTACCAACATGGCAGGTAGAACATTTCTATCTCCTGAAATGTGGGTCCCTTTATACATCCATTTTACTGAGTTTTATTTACTTCTCCTTCTCCTCCTCCTTCTCTCCTTCTTCTTCTTCCTTCTCTATTTCTGTCCTTGTGTCTGTGTCTCTGTCTCTCTTTCTAAACCACATTTTGGTATGTTAAGTGTAGAGTTACGGCTTGGAACAGTAGTCACTGGGTTGCTAAGTGGTGGCTCTTTCACTATCACTCATATACGGAACTCAGCACATATCTTGTTTTTCTTTTTCATTCATTTATTTAGCTCATAAATAAAGTCATGCACAATTATGATACACAATACAGTATGTTCACAATGGCATAGTTAAATTAAACCAATTAACATGTTATATCACACATATTCATCATTTTTGTTTTGAGAACACTTAAAGTATTCTATCTCACAATTTTTAAAATATAGCATATTGTTATCAACCATATTTATCATGCTTTCAGTAGACCTCAAGACTTCACAGAGTCCATGCCTCTTGTCCAACTGTAGTTTTATATCCTTAAACCAATCGTTTCCCCATTGTTAAAAACCCACTTTGAAGCCTAATAGCCACAATTCTGCTCTCTGTTCCCATAAGTTCATCATTTCTAGGTTACACATAAAATTGAAATTGTGTGACATTTGTCTTCCAGTGTGTCACTTAATTTTTTTTTTTTTTGGCAAGCATATAACTTTACTACTTACTAAAGATGAAATCAAATTTGCATGCACAGGTGAGCACTCTCTGAAACATTTTTGTTCCTTCTTTGAAGTTAGAAAAATTTCCACGAAACAGCTACTATTCCTGATTCCAGGTTCTGTGAGGAAATCCCAAATAACTGTCTCACTTGGTCGCTAACTCCCTGGAGGTTATAGACCTTAGAACACCAACCCATTTCCATTTCCTTCAATTCATTCATCTTCTTGTGTTCTTACTCATAATTAATGTTAGCATTTTATTTTCATTTATTTCCCAACATTTTTGAAAGTAGATATACTTTTTAAAATGAGGACAATGGCAGATCTTTCAATACCCTCCCCCCCGGAAAAAGAGAGAAACCGTCACATTGCAAGTACCACACCCCAGAATGGCAGATGTAACTCGGCCTTGTGGACAAGTTATGGGAGCATTTGAAGTGAATTGATAAAATAGTAGGGAAATAACATCTGTATATTTAAAAAATCCAATTTATTTGAGTTTGTCTTAAGTAGTAGAAACTAGGTGTGAGTTAGATACAAAGTTGCATTTTAAAAGGGTGTTTATATTCTTACTAAGTTTAAATAAAAAACACTGAATATCTATACTATCACCTATGTCAACAAAGTTTTACGGCATCCCCTGAGGGAGCAAAGTGGATCAGGTTACTTTTGGCTTGAAGTTCAAGCCCTCAGTAAAGTTCTCTTGAGGTGTAGACAGTGAAATAGGGACTGGGCAGGACAGGCCTTTGTTCCTGAGATTGCAGTAACCTTCAGTGTGACCGTAGAAAATAAAATCAAGTAAGAGTGGATTTGTCAGCTGGGCGTGGTGGCACACACCTTTAATCACAGCACTCAGGAGGCAGAGGCAGGTGGATCTCTGTGAGTCTGAGGCCAGTCTTGTCTACAAAGTGAGTTCCAGGACAGACAGGACTGTTAGAGAAAAACTCTGTCTCAGGAAAAAAGCAAAAAACAAAACAAAACAAAACAAAAACCAACAATAAACAGAGTGGACTTGTCAACTCTAACTTCAGCATGCTTTCTAAGGTTCCCGAACCATGACCCTTACCCAATATGCTAGAATCACCTATCCTAAGTGGCTCTGCAGTCTTTTGCCTAATTCTGAATGGTGGAAGTCTCTGAAATCTTTGGATTCTCCAGGGCCCTGACTGCATATGCTTTTGTTGCAATTTTTAAGCACACAGCTTTATAACTATATACACACTGTAATGTTACTGTATTACATTTTTTTCATAATAAAATATGCACCCAGACTACAAATTTTTTTAGAAGAATGAGGTTAGAAATATCAATAGTAGTTCTGAGATTTTCGGCGCACATTCTAAAGGGCCATTTTTAGATGCACCAGGGAAAAAAGAAACGACAAAGGTCACTGGTGTCTGATAAGAGAAAAATTAACCTGACAAAAAAATGTATTTCTGCAATGGAAAGGTAAATAAACAGATGAATAAATGATAGATGTGGAGAGATATTGATGGGTAGATGGACAAATGGAAACCTAGAAGGATGGGTTAGGTGGATGGAAGGGTGGCTTCGTGGGTAGATGGATGGATTCGAGGATCAAGTAACAGGCCTGTAGGGATATCTTCCTGCACAAGTCTTTTGTTCCTACCAGGGCAGTAGCTCTTAAGACTGCCCCCTCTCACACACACCCCTCATCTGTTAGCGCCAGGCCTCCTGACAGCGTTCCACTCTGCCTATTGGTGTGCAAAGTGATTGCAAAAACTATAAGCCTAAAAAGCAGAAATGTTGATGAATTGGACATGTATAGTTTCTGTTATTACACAGATGAAAACACACAGAGAGAGGGGGAGGGAGAGAGAGAGAGAGAGAGAGAGAGAGAGAGAGAGAGAGAGAGAGAACATCACTAGGCAAGCAATAATTTTAGGACAGCTCTGATGGTAGCCAGACTTGACTGTCATTTCTGGTAAGCGGCAATTTGGAAGGGCACTTCTGTTTCTGCCATGTTTTATTCTTCCTTTTAGATGGCTATTTAGATAGAGGTAGAGGTTCCACAAATACAATGCATCAGCATACAGCTATATCCTTTGTAGTTATGCTTCTTACCTAACACCTCACTTAAAAAGCAATGGCGCTCAAATGCTAGCATCTCTAGAACTTTCTGGGGTCTTCAGTAGACCACATGTTGCTGACTCAGTAGGTTTTGAGGTGGGGCCCAAGAATGTTCCATTTGAATCAGTCCCAGGTAAATTCAAGATTCTAGGAACCCTACTTTGAAAATGACAGACACAGGAGCATTTAGAAATCAAATAAGCTATAACTCATGCTAATCATGGTTAGTCTCACAAAAAACTGGTCATTGCATTTTCTAAGAAGTTTGTATACCTCAGTTTTGTTTTGTTTTATTTTCAAGGCAGGGTCTCACTATGTAGCTCTGGCAATCCTGGACTCAGACTCACAGAGATCCTCCTGCCTCTGTCTCCCAAGTGCTTGGACTACAGTTGTGATCCACTATACCTGGCAAGGTGTTCCTAATTTTAAAACGTGTAATTTCTTGCTACTTTAAAAAAGGGATGAAAATTGTCTAAGTAATTTTACACTCTGGGAGCTGTCTGTCATGGTATGTGTCTGTAATCCCAGCACCAAAGAGGCTGAGGCAGGAGGATGTCAAGTTTGAGGCACTGTCTCAAAAGTAAACAAGCAATTAAAAAAATCATTGGGGACTTTGTAAGAACAGGTAGAAGATAAAAGGAGAACGGAGGTGGAAGACAGGGATACTCAGGAAGGTATACGATGATGTATTCTTACAGAAAGGAAGACATTGAAGAATG